TATAGAGAGAGAGAGAGAGAGAGACAGAGAGAGGGAGAGGGAGAGAGAGAGAGAGGTGGGGGAGTGTGTGGCTTGTTGTGAAGGCCTTTAATATTTTACCAGGGATTTTTGGATTAATTTCGACTTTAATAAGTATTAAAGTGTGATTCATCTTGTTTACCGAATTTGTTGGCATGCAGTTCTTCCCTCACCTTATCCTAACAAGGCTGCTGACCCCAAAGCCTGCCCTGGTCCCTTCCCGGGCTGCCCGGGCCGGTGCCTGCCTGTGTGTGCGTTCTTCCATTCCGTGGGAATGAGTGTGGCACTGTGGTGCCGTGGAAAGGATGGGGCTTGGGAGTCAGACAGTGCTGGGTTTGCAGTCTGACTCCACAGCCCGTGGCAGGGGTGCGAACACCAAGCCCGGATCACCTCTTCTTAAGCCCAAGTGCTGTTAACTTCCTTGCCGTGGAAGTTTGACTGGGTTCTTCAGGATTTTCCTGTAGTTTCTCCTCTGGAAAGAGGGATCATAATATAACCTGGAGTGATTGGGGCTAAGTAAAGCCCTCAGCATGCAGTCAGTGCCTTGGAGGAGACCTCTCCAAGCCTCAGTTTCCCTGCCTGTGGAGGCAGTTTGGAGTATTACACAGCATGACACAGATAAAGTGCTTGCTGCATAGTAGGAACTCAAGGGAATTCACCTCCCTTACTATATACACTCTGCCTGCTAGAGACTGAGGTACAGGGACAAATTCATTTCAGCTCCCTGAGGAATTAACTCATCTTCAGAGACGTGATTGCTCTGACTTGACTTTGCATTTCTCCAAGGACACTAAGCTCTTGCTCTGTTGCAGGGCCTTTGCACATGCTTTTCCTTCTACCTGCCTCGTTATCTTTCCCTGTTTCTCCTGGGCCTAATAGATGTGTTTCTTCACATTTCGACTTAAAGGTCTCATGCTTGAGGGAACCTTCCCTGACCAGCCACCTCCCCTGCCAAGCTGTACAGTGTCCTCTGTTCTATATTTCCATCGTTTTCTGTATTACTCACTTTAGTATCACTGGGACAAAATACCCAATACCCACAACTTAAAAGAATGAGGTTTATTTGGCGCATGGTCCCAGTGGGTTCAGTCCAAAGTCAGATGGCTCCAAGGAAGAAACAGAATGAGAGAAGGCAGCCAGGAAGCAGAATGAGAGGGAGGAACCAGGGACAGAATACACCCTTCTCAATCACGGCGCAGTGACCCCACTCCTGACACCATATTCAGCGGCGAATTCACGACTGCATTAATCCACCAGTGAATATAGTGATCCTGGGATCCAGTCACCTTCCACCTTCTGAAAGGCATTCTAGGGACGTTTTAGATGTAAACCATAACGCATTCTATTATTTTTCTTTCTCGGCAAGTTCTATCAGATGCTTTTTATTTAAGCTGTGTTTGACTTGATAGTGATGGCTGTCTTGTCCGTGGGAGTTTCAGCTGTCAGCTCCTGGCCAAGCACGAAGCATACTCCAGAGTGGTGCCAAAGTATACGGAGTGAGTTCTCAGAATCTCAGCTCCTGTGCTTCCCCCACTCTGTGACCCTGGGTGAGTTATTTAACCTTTATGTGCCTCAGCTTCCTTTTCTATAAGATAGAGATACTAATAGCACTGTCTTCCCGAGGTGTTATGATGCCGGTATGACATAATCTTTGTAACTCTAGTGGGGCTAGACAGCTGAAACAAACAGCTCTCAAATCCCAGGCGCCTAGAGCATTGGATGTTTAATATTTGCTCCTGTCACATTTGAGTGCGGGACAGGGAGAGAGGTCCCTGCTCTGATCATTCACAGACTGGGGTTCTTTCCATTTCATTTATTAACTCGGAGGCCACCAGGGGTTCTGTGGGTGGAATTCAGGGTATCTGTGAACTTGAACTGTGTTTGAAGTTAAGGCCTGAGATGGGGATCCGTCCGCCACTGATTTATGGAGAAGGTCAAAAGAGAGAGAAGTAAGAGAAATAGGAGGTGATGGGGAAGGAGCCGAGGGGGTGCCTCACCTGGGGACCCGGCGGAGCCCAGGGCAGTGGTGGCGAACCTGAGGCACGTGTGCTGCAGGGGGCTGTTTGTAGCATTGAAAGCTCTGAAGGGTTTGCTGTCACTGGCTTCTGGCACAGGGAGCTCTGGAGCGGGGATTGTACCCTGTGGTTGGAGCGGCTGCTCTTGGGAAAGGAGGTCTGGCCAGTTTCAGCAAGGCATTGGTGGGGCTGCCGGGGTGGGGCAGTAGCAGCGTAACTTCTGGAACAAAGTGGCTTCTGTTGCTTGCAATTCTTTTTTTTTTTTTT